AGATAGATAGATAGATAGATAGATAGATAGATAGATAGATAGATAGAGGGCACAGGGTGAGTTGAAGATCAAGGGGTCATATCTAGAGAATAAAATTAAGGGATGAGAGAGGATTATAGTAGGAGAAGGAGAAAGGGAAAAGTAGAACAGGGTAAATTATCTCTCAAAAAAAAAAAGAAAAGAAAAGGCTCTTACAGTGGAGGGGAAACAGGGGAAGGTGAGAGGGAATAAGTGAATCTTATTCTCATAGGATTTGACTTAAGGAGGTTATAACATACACACTCAATTAGGTATGGAAATCTGTCTTACCCTAAAGGAAAATAGGAGGGGAAGGGGACAAGACAGTAGGGGGATGATAGAGAGGAGGGCAGATTGGTAAAGGGGGTAATCAGAAGCAAATACTTCTGAGGAGGGACAGGGTCAAAAGAAAGAATAGAATAAATGGGGGGGTGGGATAGGACTAAGGGAAATAGAGTTAGTTTTTCACAGCATGTCTGTGAAGTGTTTTGCATAACTGCACATGTATAGCCTATATTGAGTTGCTTGCCTTTTAAATGGGGGGGGGGGGGGGGGAGGAAGGGAGAAAATTTGGAACCCAAAGTTTTAAAAACACATGTCTAGAAAAAAATGTTTTCACATGCAACTGGGAAATAAGAAATACAGGAAATGGGATATAGAAATCTATCCTGCCCTACAGGAAAATGGAAGGGGAAGAAAGGGAGAGATAGCAGGGAAAGCAGACTAGGGGAAGGGGTATTCAGAATGCATGCCATCTTGGGGTGGGGGGAGGGATGAGATGGGGTGAAAATTTGGAACTCAAAATTTTGTGGAAGTAAATGTTGAAAACTAAAAATAAATAAATTTATTAATAAAAAAACAGAAAAAAATAATAATAAAGAAAAAAAAGACATTACAACCAAAGAGAATAGTACCACAACATAACAAACCTAAAATAAACACATATGTATTCCAGATTACCTCCTAGCACTGGAAGAATGGCAGATTTCATTGTATGGAAAAGAGGAAGCAGAAAGGAGAGGAATTTTGGACAGAGAGAGAGAAATGCTTGGGGCTGGAGGAGAGGAAATTTGAAGAAGGGAGGAAAGGAACAAAGAAAGGGAGATGAAGGATGTTTCATTTCTTGCCATACTGGAATAAAGCTACAAGAGCTAGTTCTATGAATGAGTTCAGTCCACCTTGTGTGAGCAGATCACCAACCTAAGTTCTCTACCACCTTCACCTCCAGCTCTCTAGTGTTTGCAGAATCAATCATAGAACTGGGAGGGGAATCTTTTGGCACTTTATGTAGCTAATAAATTAAATTAAATTAATTATTTATTTTTATGTTTATAATAAATAAAATAATAATAAATAGCTAATAAATTCCTAACTTCTGTGATAGTTTATGTTGCTATCTCTTCCCTTTTGTTATATAGGTTATTTCCATTGTTTTGCTATAACAACTAAAGCAACTATGAATATTTTACAGATAGGCCCTTTCATCCTTTAATGATTTTTTTTAGGATAAAGTTCTAGAAATTGACTATAATAGAGCTTCTATTTTTCCACAGTTTTAATACTGAATTCCAACATTGATTACTATTTTTTTTAACATTCTAAGGGTTACAAGGTGACATTTTAAAGTTGTCTTTATGTACAGTCCAAACATCTTTTCATGTGATTAATGGTTTGTATTTTCTCCTACAAAAATTTTCTGTTCATGTCTGTTGGGGACATTTCTTTACTGGGGACTATTTATTATGAAATTCTAGATAGCAGATCTACAGCTGATATTTACTACAAGTAGTTCCTCCCCCTGCCCTTCCCAAATATCTGTTTC